GGGGCGCCCCGCCCCATGCATTGCGCGTGTGCGACAGGGGGGCTCAGACAGCAGAGTGGGTGAGATGAATGCGACGCAACCTCTGGCCGTGTGCGAACAGGAGAAAGCACCCGCAGCGTAGCAATCGGGCGTTCCCCTGGAGAACTGTTCTAGGTCCTGAGGGAACCCTCGTGTTTGCTGAATTCAAACGACCTCATGGCGGCCCGGGGGGCCCACGAGTCTGGAACATGTCTTGCGATGTTTCTTGAGATTCGAACCCGGCGGGCCAAACGGCGAACGGCGAAGCCAGGGGGCCGCGCACATCATGGTAGTCGGCGTACATGGGGGCGAAAACCACAACGAGAGCTGGGCGGCTTCGAGTCGCCAGAGTCCGAGCAATCAGACGAATAACAACCATAATGCGTAGAAAACGAGCAGGTAGACGGTGAGCCATACCCTGCATTCTGAGACGGACGCCCACCACCTACCCATCAACGAAGGCGACGCCGTGCAGCATTTCGTCGACACGCGCTCCACTTCTTGTGTTCAGTAGTTCGGGTCGGACAAGACGCTTCCCGCAGCGCCGCTCCGTTGTCGTCGCAAGCGCGGACTGGGGAGGTAATTCCGTATTTCACTACCTCCAACCAATAGGCTTCGTTGCATATCCCGGTTTTGCCCAGCTCCTCCTGCGTCAGTTGAATGATCAACTTGCCGTTCTTTCTCATATCCAAGTGGGTCAATTGGTAAATCTCGTCGCCGACAATGAAGAATCAAATTCTTTGACGCCCTGACTGCCCAACTTAACGCTGTCCTCCCATCTGTTGCTCGCCGTCATGCACCGCTTGATCTTGTCGAAGAACAAATCACTGATTCCATTCCGTCTCCGCACGTCAGCAGTCGCATCCTTCCTTGCTCGTAGACTGTGGGCAGCACCTATATCCCGAGTCGCGGCAGACAGGGCCCTCGTTTCTTACCGTGTCGGCGAACGCGATGCTGTAGCCAGCTTGCGTGCTGCAGGCCTTGATCTGTGCGTCTGTCTGTGAAGCCTGAGGTAATCTCGACAAGACCGACTCCCCGCGCGCCTCTAAGATCCTGCCCGACATCGCCCGGGGAAGTCCGCCGACCCACACTTTCTTGGGATCACAAATTTGTTCGGGCTTGCCTTGTTGTGGACGGGCCGAGGAGGAACCGCTAGACCGAGTCGATGGCGCTGCCGAAAAAGAGAAGGTGTGTTGAATGTCGCTCACCTTCTTTCCGCGAGTGAGCCGAATCATTTTCACCTGTGCCTCAGATAAATCGCCGTTCATCCAGTTCCACAATCTTTCATTCTCTGTCAGCGCCGCCAGTTTCACCTCGTGCTCAGACAAACTCGCGCGGACATCGTCCGCAGTGGCCATGTTGCTATCCATGCGATTCAGCTGGTTCACGATCTGGGCGAGCATGGACAGTATGGGGTCCTGCTGGATGCCCGCGCCGTCCTTGCAGCTACTCCCCTTGTTGGAGTCGGTCAGGTGATGAATCTCTTCCCCACGACCCACTGCGCCCTTCTCGGTGCCGTCGTTGTCAAACGGCTGGGTGGGAACTTCCATCCCCAACATGCTGAGGTCCCGCACTGCCACTCCCAGGAACTGGAGACGCCTCAGATTACCAGTCCTGGCAGTGCAGCCGAACGATGAAGCAATGACTGGCCAGAACAGACCGTGCTATGGTGCACGAAGAATCTGGCGAGGCCTGTCCTCAATGGCTGGGCGTTTAAACTTCCCCTCGTCTGCGTCCAAACTCGAAACGCCAGGGATGCGTTTCGAACTTGGACCAACATTGCTACGAAGGAGGCGGAGGAGAAGGAGGATGGGGAGCGGATGGCCGCTGAGCAGATGGGGGCGAGCAGTCCTGAAACGATTGCTGCTGAGCTTTCACCTCCTCTCAATTATGGCTGCTGGTCCCCGTGGCAGCGACATGCGCTCCATCGGCTCTCGCGCACCGAGTGTGTTGCCAGGTCTTCCTGCTCAGATTGATGCCCCCCCGGCCCCCAGACTACAACAGCAACGGCTCCCGCCTGAGACTTCCTGGACGTGTAGCCTGTGAGCGCCCCCGCCCCCCGCCCTTGGTTGGGGCGGGGTGCGACGCCTGGGCTGGCCGGAAGCCCGCGGGGGCCTCCAGGATCGCTGGCGCGAGCGGCCGCCCGAGTGGAACGCGGGCGGCCAGAGAATGCCCTGGCGGGAGGCCCACGCCCGTGCTCGGCTAGATCCTGGGAGGGAAGGGCGACGGGGGAGGGCAGAGAGAGCCCTGGCGTGAGGGACGAGGCCACGAGCGGCGAATCTACCCGCACCCGCGCCTCGCGGCCTGGAGCCCGGGGCGCGATTCTGTGGATGCGCGGTCGCATGGACCCGTTCCGCGCGGGGCGTTCGCAAAAAAGAGCCCCGCATCCATGAGGTCGCGGCCTGGGTGGCGCCCAGCCCTTCGAGGCCGTGCGGGGCGAGGAGGGCCCTGAGGGGCCGCGGGGTCCCATAAAAGACCCAGGGTCCGGGAGGTCGAGCGGGGCGAGGTGAGCCCCGTAGCCCCTTTCCCTCAGGAGGGTCCTTTCCGCTTCACGGTGAGGGCCGTTCGGGGGCTTAAATGCTTCAAACAGTGGTGCGATATCTACATTTGCATATGTGTGTATACACATATGTATATACTTATTGACACACAGATGCTTATATATATATATATATATATATATAATTATATATGTAATGTATAAACACCAATAAACGCAACTATACATATGTATATATATATATATATATACATATACATATACATATATATATATATATAATATATATATATATATAATATATATATATATATATATATATGGACCTGTATGTATCCACATGTACATAAACATACACGTCATATCGCACGAGTGTCTTTGTTTAGATCGTTTGTGGGGATCTGGGAGATGTTTTTGTTGCTTCCGTTTGGGAATCCTTGTTCGCGCCATTTGCGGTCCGGTTCCTTGTTGTGCTGCCGTTTTTGTGTATTGGGCTGCGCCTTTTGGGCACGCGAAAAACAAACGTCCTCGGGGTTGTTAGAATCAACTCAGTCTGGGTGGCCCGGGGATTGGCCCGAGAGCCAGGGCGCTGAGACCCCCTCGCGTCGTGAACAAACAACCCACGACGTGAAATTCTCTGTAAATTTCGGCCTGGGGGGCCGTGAGAGATCGACTCGGGATGAAAAGCCGGTCCCGGGGAGCGGGTCGAGACCTCAGAGCGTCCACGTTGTGACAGACAGGTGCTCGGTCAGAAATACGGGGGGCACGCGCGCAGGAGTCTGAGCAGCTGCAGGCGAAGGCCGATGGGCGGCAGCGGTCGGCGGCAATCTGGCCAGACAATCGCGACACAGCTCGGCGTGACGCCGTCCTTCGTTCGCCAGGTTTTTGCCCAAGCGCCCCCAAGAATCTGGCTTCCGGGTGACGGGTCAAGGCAGGGGTGGACGCCCCGAGGCAGAGTGAACAAATCACCGGAATCTCGTTTCTAGGTGATTTTCCTAGCCTCACGACGTGGACGCCTCTAGGCAGAGTGAACAAATCACAATCTCAAAGATCATGACGGGAGCTCACGAGGGAAGACGAAATGCGAAGGACGGGTGAAGGGAGATGGGAGTGGAAGGGGACGGTATGGGAGGGCGAGGGGACATGAAATAGGAACGGATGGCCAGGAGTTGGGTCAGGTTGGAGGGGGAGTGGGTGGGAAGGGAGGTCCTCGTCCTGCTCCTGCTCCGCTCTACCCCCTACTCCTCCTCCGCTTCCTCCTTCGCCTCCGGCTCTTCATCCAGAGTCGTTCTCTGACAGCCCGAAGGCCAGGAAACGGAGCCCACAAGGTGGAAACGCAGAGAAAACGACATCTTTATAATTTTGCGACGCCCGGATCTGAAGGCAAGAACATTACCGCTGCCTCACCCCATGCCTCCTCGAGGCTCACGCAACGGGGACCAGCGCTACGGGGCCAACCAATCCCCTCCGACACCGTCTGGCTGACGCAGTCTCGGGAACCATGTGTAGCCAAAGTCTCCTTAGTCCGCTGGCACGGGTTTGGAGTCTACCATGCGGCCGGTCGGGGTTCGCGACAGAGCCCTGGCTGACCCGGGTGTGAGGCGGAACGGTTCGGGGGGGGGGCAGCTCGTGGGGGGAACAGCCTTCGAGCTTGAATCGGCGATAGTTCAATCGGCGATACATCGTCGAAAAATCGGCGTTCCAAACCCCCCTGACTTTCTGCTTTTTTCGCAGCCCCCGGAGGTCTCGACCCCGTGCCCCCAGACCGGCTTTTCATCCCGGGCAATATTTTGACAGTCTGGCGGTCCGTCGAGGCCCCCAAGTAACAAAAACAGCAGTTGCGCAGTGATTTTCTTAACGACGCAAGGGGACCTGGGCCTAAGGGTCGATGCTCCCCCCCCCACTTAGCCTGCCCCCCTTTCGCTGCCCCCGAGGTTCATCGGCTACACGCAAGGGTGACCCAAATTAGGAAAGAATCCCAGACATGCGACGTTTTGATTGTTTTGAATGCGGGGCTCCTGGATGTCCCGCCCGTTTCCCTGGGACCAGTTCTTTCTGCTGACTGGATTTTGACGGCCCCAGGGCCAGCCCAAGCCCCCTTTGGTGCGCGGCGTTGCGTGGCCACGAAGGGCCCAAATCCATGCGCGCGGGCCAGTGCTGGGCCACCCCTGCGGTAAGACGAAGCCAGACCGAAGATAAGTCTGGGTAAAGACAAACCGAGAATCTCCAAGATCCGGCGGCTCTGGAGGATGTGTCGAGAGCCGCGGCCTCCTCAGAGCGTTCCGGAACGGATTTATCCTCGTCCTGGCTCCTGACCCCGTCCGGTGTGAGCCCACGACAAGGGGCACTCCGGCGAAAGGTCACTCGAGCCGAGGTTAGCCGCGACTCGCACCAAAGCCGCTCCCGACACGCTCGGCGCCTGCTTGGCGGGCAGCCCAGGCCCCCGGCGCGGCTGCCGTCCGGCCGCGGGGGCTGGGGCGGCCTACTTGAAGAGGGCACCTCCGCGGGCGACGTCATCGTCGTCGTCGTCGCCGCCGCCGCATCCGCCGCCGCCGCCGCCGCCGCCGCCGCCGCCGCCGCCGCCGCCGCCGTCGTCGTCGTCGTCGTCGTCGTCGTCGTCGTCGTCGTCGTCGTCGTCGTCGTCGTCGTCGTCGTCGTCGTCGTCGTCGGGGAAGTCGCCGTCGTGGCTCACGGCGGTGGTGGTCGCCATTGTGGCGGTGGCGGTGCTGGTCGCCGTGGTGGCCGCCGTGGCCCCTCAGGCTGGTCAGTTTCTGCCAATTTGGATGCGGCTGGGGGGTCTGAACGGGTTGGGACACACGAAACCACATCCGCTCAAAATCGGTCCCCAAACTTCTCCAGGGATCCATCTGGTGCAGTTTTCCACGGTCCCGGGGCCAGAAAACGGCCCCTGGAGGCCCAAAAGGGCAAACCATTTTTCGCACCCAGAAGCTCGGAACTGCCCGTCATTCCTGCTTGCCAGAACCAGTGCTGGGCCACCTCAGGCCCCTCGACGGCTCCAAAGCTCTGGCGATTTCGAGTTCTGCCCGCCCAAGGCGGCCCATCGCAGCCACGAGCAGCTTCCCGCCCATGTCGGCCATCCCCGGGGAGAGCCCCGCCTCTTGCAGCAGCCGCCCCAGCTCGCCGGCGGTGGAGGCCGGGCCGGCAAGGCTCGGGGCCGCGCAGAGGCAGCCCCCAGAGGTCATTCTGAGCTCGACTACACCGAGGGACGACGCTCGACTTGAGGCGTTCGAGGCAACCTTTCGGGGGGGATCGGCTCAGGGGGGGAGCGTCCCGAGGCGCCCTCGTGGCCACGGCTGGATCCGCCTCGAACTATAGCGGTCTTCTTGCACTTTCGTCGGCTCTCGATGGTTATCCGGCCAAGGCCCCCGCCAAGGTTGCCGAGGGGATCGGAAGCTTATACGTGGACGCTAATGTGGGTTCTATCTGGCTTGACCTAGTTTATGCATTGCTTCCAAGCGTCCCAAGTGGCTTGACAGGGGCTTGGTAACTCTGCTGAGTTGGCTCTTCCCACTTCGCCCAGATCTTTGTCCACAGCAAGCCGCTTAGGGCACTGGCAGCCCACTTATAAGCTAGGTTCGGCCAGATATGAGCCCACCTTGGCATCTACATGGAACTCCCCATATCCCCTTAGCACCCCCAGCGGTGGTTCGAGTAGAATGAGAGGCAACGTTCGATTTGAGGTTTTCGGGCTTCTCAGCGGTTGCCTGGCTTCGGCATGCCTTCCAGCGGCTGCGCCTCGCCGAGAGCGTTGCCGGCGGTGCCCGGATCGTCTCGAACGGCCGCCAGGGAGCCGCGCTATTGCCCGCGAAAGCCAAAGGCAACCTCAGGGTGGAACCAACTCAGAGTAGGGAGACATCGACCTGGAATCGGCGACACATCGTCGAAAGATTGGCGATTGGCCCCCGACGACAGCGAATCCGGACGGTCCTGGGAGGATGGGGCTATCGGGCACATATCGGCAATCAATGGGCGATCCGGGGTCGATGCACTCCCCCTGAGCCTATCACCCCCTAACGTTGACTGGTCTCGATTTTGGGTCATGACTCGGCTCTCCAGCAGCCGTTCGGGACAATCCTCGCACTCCCAGAACGCTCGCTGCGAGGCGCAGCCGCTAGAAGACATCCCGAGGCCAGAAAACCGCCGAGGACCGACGAATGCCAGAAACCATGGGACCGAACGTTGCCCATCATTACAATCGGGCTCATCCCGGATCTCTCCCGAGCTGCGTTCTGGCCAAAATTTCGAAGCGGATCCAGCCGTGGCCACGAGGGCGCCCCAGGACGATCCCCCCTGAGCCTCTCCACCCTAACGTTGCCCCTGCTGAAAGCGCCGTGGGGGGCGCCAGATCCCCCCAGATGGCTCTTACGTCGACCCCAAAGTCGCGGGTAACCGCAGAGCGCGCCGACGGCGACCTCCAGTACTGAGGGCAACTCATGGTAGCCTCCCCTGCCATCTTGCTGGCTCTTGCGAATCTAAGCTGAATCGACGCGAAATCGACGCCAACGAGGCGCTTTCTCATCGACTGCCAGACGCTAGCGCACGTCAACGCACCCTAAAGAAGGAATTGTGCAAGGGCGTGCGAGGCTCCCTAGAGTTGCTACCGAACCCCACCACGCGCGGTGCGGCGCGCCGACGAGGCGAGGAGCTAGGCCCCCCGTCGGGGGCACCCGCCCGCCCCGCTCACTGGTCGGGTTCGGCGTGCAGCCACCGTGCTGCCATTAGGGGCACCAGACAGGGAACGGAGGGGCTCCTCTGGCCACGGCGACCCTCGGCCGCGAATAGGGTCAGGACCTCTTGGATGTGTCGCGGCGGCGGCCCCGGTGACAGTGGATAGCATGCCGCGCCGAAGCGTGGTGGGCCAGAACCGGCGGCGCGGCACGCTAAGCCGGAGTTCCCGGCCGCCAGAGCCAGAGGCCCTCCTGAGCCCACAGTGGTCCTTCCTTCAGCGTCTTGTCTGTACGCGTTCGACATTGGGCCCCTTGTGATCCAAGGGCATTCGGCGGCCTCTGCCGGCCTTTGGCGCCGAAGCTGGACGGCTGCGTTGCGCAACGGGGTCCATGATCGAACACGCCCAACGGAGGTAGCCCTGGCTGGGCTCAGCAGGCCGTCCGAGGTGGTCTCAACACTCTGGCGCGGCCTGTGGCGGCGCCCCCCCCAAGACGAAGCAAGGGCGAGGACAACATCTGGCGAGAACAAATCGAAACTCTATGAGATCCGGCGGCCCTGGAGGATGTCTCGGGTGCCGCGGCCATCTCAGAGCGTCGCGGAACGCTCCGAGAGCGTTCAGGAACGCTCTGGAACGGGTTTATCCTCGTCCTGCCCCTGTCCGACCCCCCCACCCCTGGGCCCCTCCGCACTGCAGCGCTTGGGGCGTTGAGGTTGGCCTGAGGTCCCCCCAGGGGGCCTGCCAAGACTGCTCGGTTACAGGGGCTGCCGGTGCGCCACCCTGGGCCGTGCCAGGCTGGGCGCGGGTTCGGCTTGAACTTCTTCCGAACCTTGCGCCCGAGCTCTGGGTTGCTGTTCATCGCGACGTCGGTCAGCGAGAACGCTCGGTCGAAGGGGAACTTCTGGCTCGTGGTGAGCTGGGGCCGCTGGGAGAACTTCCGCTTCTTCATGGTGTCGGTCAGCTGGTTGATCAGGTCGCTGTACGAGACTCTGCCCCGCATCTGCTTCAAGACCTCGCAGAAGGCAGTCGTCATAGCGCCGCCCGCTTGGCCGTACCTAGAGGACACGTCCGCAGACGTCTGGTCATCGTCGCACCCACTGAACAGCTGAACGTCTGCTGCGTGGAAGAAAGGGTTGGTTTCCTCTTGGAGGCGGCCGGGGGGTCTGAACTGGAGGGGCCCCGAGAAACCCGGTCCAGGAGGGGGGGGGAAGGACAAATCCGCTCGAAATCAATCCCCATACCCCTCCCGAGGTCCATCTGGTGCAATTTGTCATTCCAGATCTGTTTTTGACGGTCCCGGGCCCGAGAACGGCCCCCAGAGGCCGAAAAGGGTGAACAATCTCCCCGAACCCCAAAACCTCGAACCTGCCCGTCATTTCTGCTGGCTGGAACCAGTGCTGAGCCACCTCGGACCCCCAGACGGCCCCGAGTCTCCTCCTTCCACAGCTCTCTGCCACCAGGCCTCTCGTACGAGAACGGGAGGTCTAGCCCTGTGCCGCTGTGACAACAATCCATGATCGCCGTGAGACGCGCACCCTCGGGGAGCGGCTTAACGATGATGTCGCTGATCCGATCGTCGGTCAGCATGCCAGCCTTCTGGAAGTCAACGGGCAAGATGGTCTCGTTCATGCCATCCTCCTCGAAGCCGTTGGGGTCCTCCTGCTGGGCTCCGTGCCCCGAGAAGTGGAAGAAGAGGGCGTCCCCCGGGCCTGCACCCTGGACCAACCACTTCAACTCTTGCTCAACCCTCTCGCGCGTGGGCATTTGGTTCCTGTCGTCATCTGTGAGTGTGCGGATGTTTGCAGAGTCCCAGCCGAGCGTCTTCTGCAGCAGGTCCGCAATGGCCCTCACGTCGTTGATGCAACCTTTCAGCTCGGCGCGCGTCCCGAAGTAGTTGATGCCGACCAGCAGTGCCCGCTTGCGGCCAGAATGCGCGATGGTACCGCCCGGGGCGCTGATGCCCGGCACCCGCACCTCCACAGCGGAGTCGCACTTCGGGCACCTGGCGCCAATCTTGGAGCCCGGCTTTGCGGCGGGCGCTCTGACCGAAAAAGCGTGCCCGCACCTGCCGCAGCTGCACTGCAAGGTCCCCGACACCGACCCCGTGGGCAGCGCTGGCGCCGGCGCTGACGAAGGCGCCGGGTAACCCCCCGCGGCGGCGGCCCCGGCGCCCGGCACGGCCAGCATGTTGGCCGTGCCGCAGCCCGAGCAGTGCGTTGTCAGGTACACCCCGGGCCTCGTGCCGGGCGGCACCGACACCAGCAGGGGCCTTTTGCACGTGCCACACTGGCCCTTCAGCTGGGCTGGCACCGTTGGCGAGGCCGTCGCCGGGTGCAGCGCCGCTGGCGCCGCTGGGTGCGGCGCCGCTGGTGCTGCAGGCGGCGCAGCTCCCGCGGCGGCTGCCTGCCTGCACTTGTCCTCGCAGTCCCTCGCGTGGGACGTGCCCGGGCCCTTGCAGTGACTGCAACACGTCTTGAACTTCCCGAAGGCGGGGCGCCCGCAACCATTGGCGCACGCGGGGCGCAGGCGCTTGTTCTTCTGTGGGCAATCCTTGGCGTGGGGCCCGTCTGGGCCGCGGCACCTGGTGCAGCAGTGCGGGTGTGTACCATAAGCCGCAAAGCCGCAGCCGTTGCAGCAGGCCGCGGGCTCGGCGTCGATCATCGCAGGCTCGCGCGCGGCCGGAGAAGATTGGTGAATCCACCCCTGCAGAGGAGGGAGGAAATGAGGAACGACGGTTAACTACGGGCCGCAGAGGGTGAAGAGCAGCAGCAAGCAGCGGCAGAGAAGGAATCGGAGAGGAGGACTGCGAGCGAGCGGAAGGCGCAGGCGAGCTGATGAAACACGCGGCTTGGCCAGACATATCGCGGCGCGCGCTGCCGAGGGGCGGTCTCTGCCTCCTCGCCGCGCTTCCCTCCTGATGTGGGGAAGGTGGGAAAGACGAGGTAAAGGCACGCCAGGGTCCGACCCTGAACACCCGCGGTGGGGCTGGGGGTGCATACGTACGTTATGGACAAGCGCGGGAGCCTCTGGAACATGCCAGCGACAGTTGCCACCAGAATCACGCGCGCCTCGCGCGAGGTGATTGCCTCCTCCTTCTGCTTCTGATCCTTCGCTTCCCTCTTCCCGCCGCCCTCCCGGTTCATTCTCCTCCCCCCACCCTCCTCATCATTCTCCCCCCTCCCCCTCCCCCTCGCCCTCCTCCTCCTTTCTCGTCGACGTCGCCCTCCTCCCTCTCTTCCTCTTCCTTCTCCTCCTCCTCCTCCTCCTCCTCCTCCTCCTCCCTCCTCCTCCTCCTCCTCCTCCTCCTCCTCCTCCTCCTCCTCCTCCTCCTCCTCCTCCTCTTCTTCTTCTTCTTCTGATTATTATTATTATCATTATCATTATCATTATTATCATTAGTATTAGTATTATTAGTGTTATTATTATTTTATATTATTATTATATTATTATTATTATTACTATTACTATTATTATTATTGTTATTATTATTATTATTATTATTATTATCATTATTATTATTAATATTATTAATATCATTAGTATTATTATTAATATTATTATTATTATTATTATTACTGTTATTATTATTATTCGTCTTCTTCTTCGTCTTCTTATTATTCTTTTTCTCTTCTTCTTCTTCTTCTTCTCCCTCCTCCTCTCCTCCTCCTTCCTCCTCCTCCTCCTCCTCCTCCCTCCTCTCCTCCCTCCTCCGCCTCCCCTCCTCCTCCTCCTCCTCCTCCTCCCTCCTCCTCCTCCTCCGCCTCCGCCTCCGCCTCCGCCTCGCTCCGCCTCCGCCTCCCTCCTCCTCCTCCTCCTCCTCCTCCTCCTCCTCCTCCTCCTCCCTCCTCTCCCCCTCCCCCTCCCCCTCCGCCTCCTCCTCCGCCTCCTCCTCCTCCTCCTCCTCCTCCTCCTCCTCCTCCTCCTCCTCCCCATCTTCCCTCCGTAGCCATTTTGGCTCAAGCCATTTTGGCTCAAGGCTCTTTTAGAACCCGATCGGGCTCTAAGGGGGCTGAGAGCCCCGCAGCTTGGGCTCAAAGCCCCCTTGCTCTTCAGCCATTCCGGCCCTCTCCTCGCGTGGGCGCAGTCGCCCGTGGGAGAGCAAGCGTTTCCCTCGGTCGAGCCGCGCGCTGCCGAGTCCAGTTCTCGCGGCATGGCGCTGCCCGCCGTCCTCCGCGGCCCGAAGACTCCCACTTGGGCCTGCTCGAGCTGCGACCGCAAAGCCAACTGGGCCTCCAGGACGGTCTGCAGCTGCGGGGCTGCTGCGCCGCCTGGGGTCTTGCGGCGCGCTAAGGAGCAGCACGCCAAGGCTGGCGGCACGAAGCCCGGCGGCGGAGGCGGTGGCAAGGCCGGCGGCACCCCGGGCGCGTTGGCCAGCGAGATGGCGGCCTTCCGCAAGCAGCTCGAGGCGATCAAAGTCAGCCTGGCCTCTGCCGGCGGTGGCGGCGCGAAGGGCACCGCTGCGGCGCAGCCCGCCGCCGAGGAGCCCGTCGACGAAGACTCCGAGCGGCTGGCCCAGATCTCGGAGCTCGAGAGTCAGATCGCCAAGACCAAGAGGCTCAAGCTGGGCGACGAGCTCGTGCAGGCGCAGGAGACCCGCCTGGCGGCCTTGCGCGCGGAGCGCATGGAGGCCAAGGCGCCGCAGGCCCAGGTGGCTGCTCTCTCGAGCCGCCTCGGCCGCCTCCAGGCCAAGCAGGAGAAGCTCCGCTTGGCCACGGATGACAAGCAGAAGAGCATCGCGGAGGCGCAGGCGGCGCTGGACCAGGCGAAGGCCGACCTGGAAGCGCACCAGACCGACATCGCGAACACCGCCAGCGCGGTCGTTGCGGTGCAGGCGGAGCTGCGGCAGGCGATGGCGAAGGCGGCCCCTGAGCAGGAGGCCACTCGCGCGCCCGTGCAGGTGCCTCCCCCCGAGGTGCAGAAGGAGGTGCTCGCGGAGGTCTTGCGAGAGCACCCGCAGGGCGCGTCGCTCGGCGCCGGCGGCGGCGGGGAGAAGGTTCTCGGCGAGTTGCTGGGGCAAGTCCTGGCGAAGCTGGCCGCGGCGCCTGGCCCTCCTGGCCCTGCTGCTTCTGGTCCTGAGGCCCAGCCCCCTGATGAGGAGATGCCCGACGTGCTCGACGACGGCACCGTCAAGCTCATCCAGGAGGCCTCCCGCAACCCTGAGGCCAAGCGAGCCCTGGCCACGACCCTCAGCGACCTGCGGATGGTCATGAAGGCGCGCGGGTAATACGCGCGGTGGCCCCGCTCCCGGGGCCCGCGCCGCCAGCCGCGCTGGGTGTGAGCAGCCAGCGGTGGCCCGAGGGAGACGGCCCCTCACGTTCGCCACGGTCAACATCACGTCATGGGGGACGGGGGCAGACTTGGTGGACCACCTGCGGGAGCTGGACTACTCGTTGGTCTTCCTGCAGGAAACGAAGTTATCTTCCGAGCGCCTGCTGGAGGCGCAAGGGTCCTTGACGAGCCGCGGCTGGCGGCTCTGTGGGGCGCGTGCAGAGCTGAAGCACTCAGGGCTGAGTGGCGGGGTCGGCATCCTGGCGCGCAAGCACATTGATTTCTGGTGGGATGACGTGGAGGCGACGATCGTGCCAGGCAGGATCACGTGCGCCTTCTGCAGGCTCCCCGACCTCGGCGTGATGGCGGTTTACAGCTGCTACCTCGTCACGGGCGCTGGGCTCGCGGGCAATTTGGACTCGCTCCGCGCCCTGGCTGCCCACGTGCGCAGCCACCGCCTGCCATGGCTGGCGGCAGGCGACTGGAACATGGACCCGGCTGAGCTGGCGAAGTTCGATGGGTTCAATGCCGTGGGTGTGCAGGTCATTGGCTCCTCTGAGCCGACCTGCCACGCCTCCTGCGGCACGCACACGGTGCGCGACTACTTCGTTGCTGGGGGCTGGCTGGGCTTGGCCTGTGCGGCTCCGCGGCCCAAGCCAGAGCTTCTGGTACCCACCCACGACCTCGTGGAGTTGCCGTTCCTCGCAGCAGGCGACTGGCCCACGGCCCGCGTGGCAAGGCGGCCGCCCCGCATGCCGACGGAGCGGCCTTACGGGCCTCGGCAGTGCCCGCCCGATTGGGCGCCCGTCGTGGAGGAGGGCGCCAGGCTGCTGCGCGGCTGTGAGCTGGGGGCACAACCATTGGCCTACAGGCAGAGTGCGGTGGACCAGCTGTACGGGCAGTGGCTTACGATCCTGCGGCGCGACTTCGGGGGCGTTGTCGACACGCTGGAGGGGGATTTGGTGTACTGGGGCGGCCCCCTCGTCTTCCGCGACGTGCCGCTCGCCGAGGCCTTGGAGACCAAGGCCAACGCGCGGCCCCGCGCCAGTGCGGGCTTCCGCTGGCTGACGGGCACGCTGGCCAGGCTGGGCGGCGTGCTCAGGCAGTTCGACGCGAGCGATGGCCTAAGCGGTCGGGGGCCCCTGCGCCGCCAGGCCGAGAAGCTCCAGGCGGGCCTCGTGGCAGGAGGCCGCTTCGCTCACAACGTGGACAGGTGCCCCGACTGGGATTGCTGGTCCACCGCGCTCGTGGAGCTCTGCGACCAGGTCATGGCCCGCGCGGGCGGCCGCCTGCTGTGGCCCCGCCCTGCCGAGGCCTCACGAGGGCTCCGAGCCGGGGCCGCCGGGGGGCCGCCGCTGGGGCCGCTGCTGGAGCCGCCGGGGGGGCCTCCGCGCCACCCCCAGGCGCCCGCGTGGGAATTGGGAATTGGCCGTGCGGGCGGGGGCGACGGCGCAGGAGGGGTGCGCGACGCGCCCAGTGCGGCGGGCCTGGGGGCTGCGCCGGAGCCTGGCGGCGAGGCCCCGCCCGCGCGGGAATTGGCCGAGTCCGGGCCCGACTCGGCCACGCGCTGCGCGGGCGGGAGCGACGGCGCTGGAGGGGTGCGCGCCGTCACCCTTGGCGCGCCCGGGGGCTCCGCCGGCGCCGCCGATGGCTCCGGGCTTGGCGCGGCCGTCGCTGCCGAGTCGGCGCCGTCGGCGCAGCCCGCGCGGACCACCATGGACGGGGAGCTCGACCCGTTCGCCGACCTCGAGGGCGCTGCGGCGGCCCCGGAGGCCCTGGCGGCGGACCCAGGGTCAGGCGACGTGCGGCCGCCGCCGCCGCCGCCTGCTGCCGGCGCGCAGGCGGGGCGCTCGCCACAGTCCTCCAGCGGCCACCTCGGCTTGGCGGTGGAACTCTTGGAGGCTGCGGCGGCTCGGACTTGCAAGGAGTATTTGATGGGCCAACGTCGGTGCGCGCCGCACTGGCGCGAGGCCCTCCGACAGGACCTCCAGCGGGGTGCACCGATGCTGGAGCCCGCAGACCCTGCTCCCGAGCTCGCCGACCCCTCGGCGCAGCTTCACGACCGCTGCACCGACCCGCTCCTGGTACCGGCCAAGTACCACGGGGATTGGAGCACGTGCTGGAAGGCCCTGGATGTGGATAAGGTCGCGTCGGCCACCCTGGCCGTGCAGCACGCTCTGGACGTCATGGTCGACGCGCAGTGCGGCACGGCGGCCGACTACGTCGTCACCGGCGCCGACGTGGGGCGCGCCGCGGCCAGTTTCAAGGCGGCCACCTGCACGCCTGGTGGGGTGCACCCGCGGCACCTCGGCTGGCAGGAATCGTTGGAGGGCACCGCGGGGCTCCTGAACGTGATCACCGTCACGGGCTTGGCCACTTCGGCGGAGCAGGAGCTGCTGTCGGCGCAGTACCTCAAGCCGCTGGGCAGGGGCAGGAGGCCGATCGGCCAGTTCAAGGCCCTGCACAGGCTGTGGGGCAAGTGCCAGCGCGGGCGCCTCCGCAGCTGGCAGTCCAGGCTGCAGGACCTGGGCCTCCTCAACACTGGCGAGGGGAGGAAGGTCTCGGACTGCGTCTGGAGGGCGGCGACGCGGGCGGAGTGTGCCGCGGAGCAGAGCCGCCACTTCGTGGTCTTGCTCTGGGACCTCGCGAAGGCCTTCGAGAAGGTCTCGCACGACAAGTTGGTCGGGCTTGCGGCCCGCGCGGGCTTCCCCGCCCACTTGCTGCGCGTGGTGCTGAACGCGTTCCGCTGGAAGCGATTCGTCACCATGGACGGGCTCGTCGCCGAGCCGATCTACCCCGACGGCGGGGTGGTGGCGGGCTGCTTCTCCGCCACGCACTGCCTGGCGGCCTACCTCATCGAGGACCTCCGCCAGCAGCAGCTTGAGCACGTCGGCATCGTGCTGGCGGTGCACGTCGACGACATCAGCCAGGAGGTCGTCGGGGACTCGATCCAGGAGGTCGTCACCACCCTGGTGGACGGAGCCCGCGATCTCAAAGCGGCGCTGGAGGGCGACCTGGACATGACACTGGCGGCGGCCAAGGGCACGCTCCTGGGCAGCTCGGACGAGGTCACCTCGGCCGCCCAGCTTGCGCTCCAGAGCCTCGGGCTGCCTGAGGCCGCCAGGCCAGGCGTGCGGCGCAGGCTGCGCAGCGCCGTCAACGCCTCGGTGCGGCACCTCGGCGTGGACTTCCGTGCTGGGAGGCGGCGGCGCGGGCCGCTCGGCAGGCCGGGCGTTGCCCATCTCGCTGGGCCCGTTCGCAGCGGCGGGTCGAGGCCGGCAGGCGCCAGTTGCGCAAGGCCCTGCGGACCATCAAGCAGGTGGTTGGCTGCAAGCGCATATGGCATTCCGCCATCGTGCCTGCGGCCGTCCGGGGGGGCGAAGTCTCGGGCTTCTAGCCGCAGGAGCTCGGGGACCTGAGGGCGAGGGGGCAAAGGCGCTGGCTGGCCATCCCTTCATTGCCTCAGACATCCTGGAGGCAGCGCTGCCAGGCTGGTCGCCCCTGGGGCGCGCGACTGTGCTCACCGTCGAGAGGTATGCCGAGAAGTGGTGGCGAGCCTCGGACGTGCGCCAACGAAACGGGCGCGTCCTCAGCCTCCCCGAGCTTCGTGGAGCGTACGAGGCGGCGGCGGCTAGCTTCGACGGGAAGCTCGGCGAGGCAGGCCCCGCGGGGGCCATGCTCCGCAGTCTCCACTGGGCGGGGTGGACTTCCCCTTCAGCGACCTCTTTCAGGTCTCCCAGCGCGGGGGTGATCAGCGTGCTGGAGACCTCGCCCAGACAGCTGGGCCGCATTTTCAAGCTCGACGTGCTGGCGCAGATCGAGCTGCGGGCCGACGAGGCTATCAGGCGCCGTTTCAACCTCGGCGCGGACTTCGATGGCATCTGGTGGGAGGGAGTCCAGGCGGCCCTCAAAGGGAGCTACTGCAGCGCCTTGGAACGCCACGTGATCGTCTCGTTGCTGGGCGGCACGTACTTGACGGGCGAGCGGGCCCGCGACCTTGGCTACCTTGTGGACGGCATGTGCGCGACCTGCGGGGTGCCAGACACCGTCGCCCATCGCGTCGGATGCTGCCCGCGCTTCGCGGCGGGCCGGGCGGCGGAGACTGGCTGGTATGGCGATCTTGAGGCTGGTCGCTGGCTCTGTGACACGGTTTTGCTGGACCTGTGCCTGCCTTCGCCTCCGCCGCGGCTGCCAGAGCCGCCTCGTGGAGAAATGCGCGCTTTCATCGGGGAGCGCGAGGTGCCAGTCAAAGATTTTGTTTTTGTGCCAGGCGAGAAGATAGTGGGAGATGGGTCTTGCTCCACCTCTCCTCTTACCTCCCTCGTGCGGGCGGGTTGGGGCGTCGTCCAGTGGGATGCTGTGCAGGGCGTCCTGCGCATGATCATCGGCTCGATCCCTGCCGGGATGCCGCAGTCCGCCGTATGCGCCGAGCACCAGTGCTTTTTCACGGGCGCCGAAGTTTCGGACGGCACGTGCACGTACATAGGTGATTGTTCTTCGGTCCTGGGGTCGGCCAGGAATGGGACGGCCCAAGCGGGCAAGTCCACGTCTCCGTTCGCGGGTTTTTGGCGGGCCCTCCCTCGGCAGGACCAGGCCTACGCAGGCCTGGTTAAACAAACATCCCACGTGCACGTCGTCGAGCAGCCCGCCTCCGAAGCGGAGTGGGCTGCCTGGCTCAATGACCAGGCCGATAAGGCCGCGAAGTTAGGAGCTCGCCTCCACGGCACCTCCACCTCCCTCGTCGCCGATCTCGAGGACCGGCTCGCGAGGATGAAGCAATTCCTTCGAGGGGTCGCCCGCGTGCTGTGCACGGGCCCCACCCCGAAGCAGGAATGGGCCGACCTGCGCAGGCCGCCCGCCTCTCGCGTGGCAGCCGCCGTGATCGCCCACGAATTCGCTGTGGTCGGCAGGAGTCGCTGGCAATGCGTCCGCTGCCTGCGTTGTAAAACGACGCGTGAGGCCGGCATCGACCGTAAGGAATGCCGAGGAGTCGAGGATCGGCCTCCCAGTTTTGCCCGTGTGGAGTCCTTTCTAGACTCCCACGACGTCGAATGGTGTGAGCTCGCGGCCAAGCCTGGAGCTCCCGTCGGCGAGACTGTATTGTTTTGTAAGAAGTGCTCCATGTACGCGACCAGCAAGCCTGCTGGTCTCGGGGGCCCTTGCCCCGCCGAAAATCGCCCTGGGTGGAAGATTTCAGAGGCGGCGCTGCACAAACGGAGGCGGTTCTTGAAGGGCCAGCATCCCAAGTGCGGCGAGAGCGCGACGATAATCGCGAGCTGGCCGATTTCCCGTAAAGCGCTCAAAACATCGGTGCCTACGTCTGTATAGGCCTGCGCATGGCGCCGCTTGTCGCTCGCTGGCTCCCTTGGGCCCACATCGCACGAGGAGGAAAAAACCTCCTCCTCTTCCTCCTCCTCCTCCTCCTCCTCCTCCTCCTCCTCCTCCTCCTCCTCCTCCTCCTCCTCCTCCCCCCACCCCCGCCCGGCCGCGCGGATGCCCGTGCAGGGAACAAATCTGGGTCAGCGCGCTGGAGGTGGGGGAAGGGGATGACACGCCTCCAGGCTCCCGCGGCGCTCCTTTCCTTCCGCCGGGGGCGCAAGCCGCGCCCACCACGAGCACGCCCGAACCACGTCGCGCGCTGGGTCCGTGGGTGTGTCCGCCGTGTGGGGCTCAATGTGCGGCTCCAGGTCCAGTGAGGGCCTGGTGGACTTCAGAGCTCCATTCTAGCACCCCTGTCTTTTTGTCTTTCGTTGTTTATGTATTCTCTCTCTTGCTCCCTCTCTCTCTCTCTCTGTCGTTGCCTCTTCCCTCCAGGGGACGCGGACACCAGTGTTCCGCCTGTTGCTCCTGCTGCTGACAACTCCTCCCTAATGAGGATGAAAAAAGGATGCTCCTCCTCGCTATGTTCACCATCGCTGCCGTTTGTCCTTCTTCTTCTTCTTCTCCTCCTCCTCCTGCTCCTCCTCCTCCTCCTCCTACTCCTTCTCCTCCTGAGGTGGAGCAGGGACGGTAGCCTCCTCTCCTCATCTTACTGCTGCCCCTGCTCCTTCCGCGTATCATCCTCACCTTCCTTTTCCTCCTCCTCCTCCTCCTCCTCCCTGCTGCTGCTCTTTCACCCTCTTCTGCGGAGGCAAGGGGGGCATTTGGGTTCGAATTCCTCGTTTCTTTCCTCAAACGGGAACGGAAGATCGGGAGAATGAGATCGGGAGGATGAGGAGAGCCACCACTACCTTCCCTCATCCTAGACGATCGTAAGAAGGATGAGTAGAATGAGGGGCTGCTCAAATGACCCCTCCCCCTCGTCACCTCCCTCCACCTTCTCCTCCTCATGGCGATCTGTTGACGTGGGGGGGTTATCCGCAAACGGATGGGTCATCGTCACCCCCCTCATCAGATGGGGAAGGAGCCGCAATAGGGGAGGAGGACCGTTCCAATATTCTCTCCCCCTCCATGACCGTAAGGGAGTGGGTAGGTTGGAGGGGAGGTGGAAGGATGGGCAAGAAGATGAGGATGATGATGCTGCTGATGATGATGGTGATGCTGATGATGCTGATGATGCTGATGATGATGATGATGATGACTCATGATGATGATGATCGCTCTCGTCCTCCTTTTCCTCTTCTTCGCCCTCGCCGTCCTTCTCCTTTTCCGTCGCGGTTTCCGTCATGGCATTGCTCCTCGAACGTCATGACCGCAACCCCTCTCGTGGTCGCCACTTCCTCCCTCTTCGCATGCGTGACCTTGGCCCTGTCACGCAGGTGCGCCCCTTCTCCCCGACCAAACCATGCCTGTGGTCCGTTCCGGGAGGATGGCCACACCCCTCTTCATAGTCAGCATCTGCTTTCACCAATCACCCATCCACCGAGTGGTTGGAAGTGCCTGGGCGTAGAACCAAGATTGAGACGAAGCGAAACGAGCCATCACATCTTGTGTTTATACTTATGGGTATATATGTATGTATACACATGTACATACCATACATGTTTTGCAAGGCGAATGTGTGTATGTTTGCATGCTCGTATGTGTGTATGTTTTTTTGCTTGTTTGTTTGCATGTGTGTGTATGTTTGTATGTATGTATGACTGTACGCATGGCTGTCTGTCTGTCTGTCTGTCTGTCTGTCTGTATGTATGTATGTATGTATGTATGTATGTATGTATGTATGTACGTATGTTTGTATGTATGTTTGTATGTATGTGGTTGTATACATGTATGTGTGTACATTTGTTTCTGTATATATACACATTTCGTTCGTAACTCGGGCGCGTTAGGGCCCCCAAGGAAGGGCCTCGGCGGGCGCGCGCGCGAGGTCAACGAGGACCAACGTCGCTCGGCGAATGACGTAAAGATGGCCAGCCCAGTCCTCCTCGGCGGGTTATGGGGGCGGCGGCAGGATGCGACAGGTATTGCACACATGGTATGCAATCACGAGAGCCTCGACCTGTGGTCCTGTAGGGGCTCCATCTAGGCACAGACGCGCGAGAGGGCTCCCAGGGGCAACCTCACTTTGGGGGTCAGAGGCCAGGGCACCAAAAAAATGCATGAAATAATCCGAACACTCTGGGCATCTGAAACGGCATGGCAACGCTCCCGGAGGTGAATGTAGCCTCGTGGACGTGAGCCATCCACCACACATCGATTTCAGAATCGCGCTCTGCCAGGAAGGAGAGAGGGGGCCGATGAGGTCCCGCAAGGGCGGCCAGAAGTCGCCAGCAACCTCGAACCCCCACGCCTTCAACCGTCGCGTGAGTCGCTCACCCAGACGGTCAGGGACGAGAGTAGCGTGCATGGCAGAGGCGAGAATTTGGAATCCGAGCCCTCTGGCCAGGGCGCGCCGCGTCGATGGCTGCGCTGTCAGCGCTCCGCGCTGCGCCCGCTGGGCTGGCCAGGGCCGGACTGTGCGCGAAATTAATGTGGGCCTCATTCAGGTGGCACGCGGTCGGTTTCGATTTCCACCCTGATAGTGACAACTGCTGCAGCCTGGTCTCCAGAAGCGCGCCGTGCTGCTGGAGCTCCGCATACAGCCATGCATCGAAGTATTCCCAAGTAGAAGTGGTGGCTGGCGCTGTCCGCGTCATCGAGTCAGCTCCAGTATATCAGCATTGACTTCGACCGAAGCTTCGACCATGATGAATGCGAAAGGGAGTCGTCGCGAGCCAGCGCCCGCGGAGGAAGCTTCAAGATCTCGCGGATCGCCCGCGCCCCCTTCGTCCTCAGGGTCTTCGGCGCCGGGCGCAGCTGCTGCAGGTAGCTGATGACGGGCAGCGCGCGCTCATTGCAAAGGGCGCGGGCCAGCGCCGAGGGGGGCCCAGTGCAACGCGTGGCACTCTCGCCTGCCACTTGGCCGCAGCCTGTCTCCAGACCTCTGCCTGGGTGGCCGCGGGCCCAACGACCGCGCCCAGGTACTCGGCCATGCCGTTGATCGACGAGAACTCTCACCAGGAAGGCATGCGCCCCCTCAACCAAACTGGAAGTCCACCGCGCGGCACGGGGTCAGCTCGTCCTCGAGCGGCGCGATGATGGACCTGCCATGCTTCAGCGAAGGGCCCGCCAGCACGCGCGCCGCGCGAAATGCTCGCCGCGCGCCTCTCAGCAAAGACTTGCCGCTCAGGCCACAGCCCGCGTCGCCCGCGCACTCTCCGAGGGCGGGCAGCTCGGGGCGCGACGAGAGCTGGTCGACGCGGTGGATGAACGGTTCATCGAGATGGCCAAGAGCGAGCCTGAGGTCGGGCACCCTTGAGCAAGGCCGCGCAGGATGCGCAGAAAGTGCGGCAAGCCGCCCGCGAAGCCCCAATGCTCGAGGCGCGCGAACAAGCGATGGGAAGGCGTCGCCGACGTCGTAATTCGCCATCAGTGGGCGGCGCCCCCCGCGGTCGTCGCGCAGCTCACTGGCGCGGGCGGTGGCGTCGAGCGGGGCGGCGTGATCAAGAAAGCTGCGGCCTCGCAAAAAACGTTTCTGAGCCGACGGGGGCGCCCGCTCGGCGGGCTTGGCCATCGGCGCGTAGGCGGCGGCAGCCGCGACCTTGCAATCTGAAGTGTTGAGCGCGATGGCCCTGGTCGCGCTCGGCGCGCGGAGCGCGCCGACGACGGCGTCCTCGTCCTCCTCGCCCATCGGGGGGGGGGCCAGGAGGTGGTCGCTCGAATCCGCGGGGGGGGGGGGGGGCGACTCCTGGCGCCGCGTCCTCGAGCGCGGCGATGGCCCGGGGGCGCTGTCGCCGCGCGGCGTAGGGGCGCCCGTCGGGGCCAGGCGCCGACGGCCGCGCGCGCGCGGCCGCAGGCTGCGACCGGCGGGCGGCGGGCGGACGCAGGCCCGCGACGTCCATGTTCGGAGCGCGCGCGGAGAGGCACCTCGGCGCACCCTTCGCTCGCTTGGAATCCCTGGACTTGCCCTGGAAGATGGGGGCCTGGCGCTGTCTGGGCGCCCGCGGCATCTCCTCCTGAGAACGGGCGACAACGGCGGGGCCCTCGCGCTCGACGCGCGTCCCCTGTAGCTTCAAGGAGCGGCCGAAGGGGCCCCGCAGGGCCGCGCGCTTCCACGGGCGCCTCCGCAATGCATTGATTGCTATCTGCTATTCTGCGGGCCGGGATGCGACCCCACTTGAAGAAGAGATGCGCGAGGCCTGTCGAGTTCAGCGGGAGACCAACTTTGCTTTCCGCCTCCTGGTACCGCTGCTTGAACTTTAACGAATAATCTTGCAATCCAGTCGCGCCTCTGCGCGTGTCCAAGAACTTGTCGAGCATTTCTCCCTGCTTGTTTTGTTCCCAAATCCCGAGCGCTTCCTTCAGCTTCTGGATCGGGTGAGCCACTCCAGCAGGATCAGCTTCGATGGGCATGCGGCTGCGTCGAGCTGCTCATCCTGCCTAGCTAGGGCGAGAGCGGCATCACCAGTGACGGTCTCGCCGTTCCTCGTCACCCGCATGTTCATGGCCACGTCGAACGCCTGATCCAGAAAACGACTTGCGATCAAGGGCCAGCTTCTTCTTCGCGGACCGGTGTGATACGCCACCATAGATGGAGGCACTCGAGAAACTGCTTGAAAGTGTAGTCAGGTAGGCCTTGCTTCCAGCAGGGCGGCACATATCTGGTGAATTCTGGCAGCGTGGTTGGGGGCTTCCAGTCTGCTCCGCCTCCAGCAGCCATCGTCACGAACTCCAGATCAAAGGAGAGGAGCGTCACCGACGCGCAGGAAGAGCTCGCTGATTTACAAGGAAAAGAATATAAATATTGTGCTGGACTTCTTGGCGATCAGCAGGGGCCTGTTGACAGCCCCGATGCGTTCGTTGCTCTTCGCCTTGACGAAGTGGCGCGCCCGGCGGCGCGCGGGCGCAGCTATGGCGGCGCCGGCTGCCCAGAGGATGGGGGGCAGGCTGGAGTCTGGAACTGACGTCCAGCTCCGCTACCAAACTGACATGTTCAGTCGATTCGCGAAACCCTGAGCCATGATGTGTTCGGAACAGATACTACATTTGATCAAACCTCTTGTCTGAATCACGTGCTGCTGCTGCTCTCGGATCTGCTTTTAAACTCAGTCCGTGACGGGGGGGGGTTCGAATCCCCCCCCAAACTTTTCCTCTCTCTCCTCGGCTGGCGGCGGCGGCGGGGACGACGATTTCCTATTCTGGGCCCGCGCCGGCGCCTGCGGCGGCGGGCGGCGGCGGCGGGGAGCGTCGACGAGGACGA